TATTCATATAGTTTGAGCCCTATCAAAAACCTGTAGGTCGTCTCAATGCACGAGGCATACAAAGAAACAGGCAAATAAGTGCAGCATTAGATTCATTCAGTCTGTCCATACTCTACCTTACAGAGAGGGAGTACAAATCTTCCCTTTCATTACTCTTCCTCAAAAGATAGCTCCCATCCTGCCCATTGGAAAGCAGCAGTGCTTCTGCTGCATGTCGGGTAAGGTTATCATGGTACCACCTGGGAAGACACAAGGGGTTAAAGCATCATTCGCTCAGCTCTTAACTCACAGCTGCTGCTGCTTTTGGGACCAGACTCTAAGACAGAGGGAAGGACTGCAACTAACACTTTGACTTCCCATCCTTCTCATGGGCACTCACAGGTTACACAGGTCTGTGACCCTTCCAGCAGCTTCCTTTCAACATGCTCAGAAAACTATTCATTGATAATGCAAAGTTGTGTACCAACAGCTGACAGTCTGCTGAATCTAAAAAACACCGCAAATTCTACTTGCAGGAGCAAAAAATTACCCAGGTCTGTGCTGATAAGGTGAAAGCAGTTTTGGGGGCTGTGCAGGATCCTTTGTCTATTTTCAGAATCTGTACTTCCTGACATATCTATATGCTTTGGTACACTTCCTCTTCTGGGGCAAACAGGCAGCACTTCAGCTCCTCATAAACTGTATTTCCCACAACACATCTACACTCCTGAGATCTGCAATTAAACACGTTTGCCTAAGCTTAAAAGTTTCATTTGAAGCATAACCTTTCTGAAAGTAGGCACAGAGGAAAGGATCAAAATTAACTGACAGAATTTCAGTGAAAACTAAAGAACCTTGTCATTGTCGCCGCTCAGCCGCAGAGGGTCTGAGCAACAGAGGAAAACACCTAAACATCTGCTTCAGTTTAACTTCGGTGAAAATGAACTTCAGTTTTTTGTATGAAAAATTTTGCAAGGAATTCACAGAAAAAAAATCCTGCAAAGAAGTACAGGAAATGTAGTTTAGGGCTTTGTTTCCATTCAGAATGTTCCACTTTATTGTGGAACCCAATTTCTTTCAGCGGACAAGGATCTTGTTAGAAACGATCCTGAGACTGAACACAAAAAAGAGCTGCAGCTATAAAAGGTTGGAGTTGGAATTCCATAAGACTTGTGTGTAGATATCAGCAATAGCGATGTACACACACTGGAGCCTCTGGTGCAGAACGAGGGAGGGACACTATCCCCAAGGCACAGCTCTGCAGGCAGCAAGCTTCCTTTGTCTGTATGCCGAGTGGTGCCAGGTCTCCTTTCCCTTCCTTTAAACTGTGTGTGCCTGCAGCACTGGGGTCAGAGTCTATTCCTGTTTCAGTCAGAGACGTACAGTTTCACTGAAAGCAGAAGTGTCATCATAGCCCTTTCCAGCATTCGTATCATGGCAGTCTTCAAACTGAAACCAGTGCAGGTGTAATGGTATACTCTTTCTCCTTAACTGCTCATTGCCAGTTGCCACTCAACTTGGCACCTCACACTAAGTTTTAACTCTGAATTTGGATGGCTGCCTATTTGAAAGGACAGCTGGCGATAAATTGCTTTATGAGAGACTCCAGACTGTTAACCCTGCGGAAGACAAGATCCATGTGAAACTCAATACAGGCTGGGGACTGCTGTTTTGGCTACAGAACGTGGTCCATGGGCCATCTACACAGTAGAATAAAATAATGAATATTTAAAGATCAAAGTGTCATCCTCTGAAACACCTGTTAGACAAAATCCGCTTTGGGATTAACTGCCCAAGTAAGTAACAGTCAAAGGTCAGATCTGCCCTGATGTGAAAAGGATCATATCAGCATGCACACTTGGCCAGCCCTACAGCTGAGAAGACAACACTGTGTGGGATTTAATAACTCCCTTTCCCTCACTTCTGTGCAAGAGAAGCATACCTTGAGAAAACCTCTAAGTGGTCCTTTGCAAGAAGGAGGTGAATTTGTTTTGAGGTCCCTTTTAAGTGCACTGTTAACTTACTTTCAAAAAAAAAAAAGGCTTTTACTAACTTAAGTTTAAAAACTAGCGTGTTTAAATCCCCTCTCTTTACACATAAAATGCCAATGACTAATGACATTTTATCCCTGTGAGAAAATAAATAAATAAACCAACCAAAAACCAACAACAAAACCCATCCACATAACGCAGAAAATACTGCTATTTGAAAGTGCAGTTTTAAAATTTTGCTGACAAGGTTGCACCAGTCTTCTTGCCTAAATATGCTGTCTCAGACAAAAATCCCTCAAATGTTACTGTGTTCCTCTTGCTCGGCCTAAAAAGTAGAAGTGGATATGAGGCAGTAATGCAGATCTTGGTGTCAAAGGGTCTGTGTTACACATCGTTTTGGGGTTTTTCTCTTCCTTACTGTCACAGATGGTTCAGGCAAGTTACTTGGCTGTCCCACTGTAAAAAAAATGCTCAGACAAAATTTCTTCCAATTGCACAAACAGAGGTAGAATTTTAAGACGCTGCAGAAAATTTAGAATTTGCACCACAGAGTACCAGAAAGGTAAACAAATACACACCCATGCAAACAGTCTGCTCTCCCAGTCCAGCCTCCCTGATGATGCAAATGCAAATAAACAGGACTGAAAATAAGCCCAAACAGTCCTGTGGTTAGACACTACTGGGTATACTTCAGGTGAATTTAAGTATTTGTCAGAGGGGGAATCCTTCTATTTAGCTGTTTTAGGAAAAAAAAGCAGTTCTTTGAAATTTGCAGGCAAATCAAGACGGAAGACACGGCTCACTTGGCGAAGCACTGTAAAAGGCAGTCACCTTTAGCTTAAGTTTTGGTTGTTTTCTGAGCAATACCTGGGGCATGAAACTGTTGACAGAAAACATAATACTGTAACTACCTTCTTAAAGTGAGACATTAAGGAAATCAAAACACTTCAGAAACACTCATCTGTCTGAAGCCCCTAGAAAATCCTTCCAAAAGCTGAATTGTCTTATATCTTCAGTTTCAAACCATCATGCACATCTGGCATATTGGACTGTTTCCAGGGGTTCTTCCAAAAGTCATCTTTATAATCTTGTTTTCAATGCAAAAATAATCCATAAATATGCTCTATGCTTTGACGTGTCAGACTGAAAATCATCAGTAGTGTAAAGCCCGGGGTTACTCATTCAGATTTCTCTGAAGAAGCACAAGAAGTTCCCTGCTTCAAAACCACTCCTGCTGGCTGCCACTAGCCTTGCACACCCTCCTGCCTGATATGTGTACATACTTCTGGGAGGTTTTTCTTTTTCTACTTATTTACTTTCTCCCATAAAACAAATGTGCGTTCTCACCTTGTTTTGGTTTCCTTGTTCACAATTTGACTACCAATCTTATCCTCAGAGTATTATAGCTGCTGTCATTTATCCATTCTTGTTACTTTAACTTTGTCCTAAATGACATTAAATCTCCTTACCCCATACATATAAGCATGTTTGTGTTGTCAGTGCATATTGTTGACTGAGCATGCTACTCTTCCTGCTCTTTGGAACAGAAGAGTCTGCTGGGCCAATGAAGGCATGTCTTAAAATGGCCATGGACACTGAGTGAGATTACCTTTGTTAGTCTTTGAAAAAGAAAGCATTTTCAGAAATCAGTCTTTTCTTTAGATCAGATTGCACTGGTGACAGCATAGGAAGGGCTTTACTGATGTGGCTGTTAAGAGAAGGAGAAAGAAATCAGACACCCAGTGCCCCAGGGAGCCAAAACTCATCAGAGCACACAGCCTTGCCCTAAAGATCTGCTCATCCAGTCGCCAATGGGATTCCCCCATGGAGTGGCAGGCACCGCTGTGCGCGCCAGCCATATCACTGCAGCTCTGCTAGTCATCACAACTCCAGAATAGGATGCACTCCTGGTAAAATCTCCACGTGCATCAAGATCTCTGTGTGGTTAATGCAGTGACTGGACCCACCTACACCGTAGTGATGATCAGGAACATGTTACAGCAATGTCTGGGGAAGGAAACTCCCTCTTCAGGTTAGAACATCGTCCTCAAAATGTTCATTTGGTCTTTAGTAACCCAAGATGTTTCAATGAAAAATCCTAATTAAACTTAATTTCTATGTCCCCTGCAGACCAGATGAGCTATGCGCATCTGTCATTTTTTTTGTGGTGGTAGATGTTGGCAAGTTTTGCACTTTTCTTCCTATTAAAAATATCTTCTACCCCAAAGAGTTAATTTTCTTACACTTTGAAACTATATACTAGCCTTAAAGATGCATTCCCATTCTTAGGTTGAAGGAGTAGTACACACTGCTGCTTGATGGAGTGTGTGGGAAATCACTGACTTATCTCCTCTGGCTGGATGCAATGCTCTTCACGTGCCTGTACTCCAAAAATGACACTACAACACTGTCTCACTAGTTCTCTATTCCTGGCATTCTGGATTCCAGCACCTTCCAGATCTTATCTGTCAAGTTTGGGGCAGGTTGTTTTGTTTGTTTGGGTTTTTCATTAGTTTGTTTTTCAAACTTTGTTCCTCATCTCACACCCTAGAAGCATTGCCTGTCATCTGAACCTTGCAAAAGTGTTCTCTGTACCTTGTGTAAGTTTTAGCAACATTTTTAACAGAGCATGAATTGACAGAGCTCTAGAGATCCTGCAAAAGGACAAGAATGCTAAGGCAGAAGTTACAGGTGGCAGACAACCAAAATTGGTGTGTGTTAGACATCCTTTCAATGTGTCACACTGAAACACTTAATCACACACCTATGCAAAATACTTTGTTGGAACACGAGGATGCTATTACATGAGAAAAATAATCTCAAAATAGAACTACAAGGAAATAACGTCAGTGTGTCCAGCCTTAAAGTTCCTGTCTTCTAACTGTAGACTTTCACTAGTTCAGCTTCTGCTTTTCACTTCCATTTCTCACCCCTTCTCTCAACTGCCTTCACTCTAATTTTCACCCACCTTTTGCCCACGATCTAGCCATTTTAATTTTGCCCTTGTTTACATTAGAAATATAGATGCACAAAAAATTCTTATGACCATTTCTCCCTGTCCCAGTCATACACGTTCCTTAATCCCCAATTTTGTTATCACCCGATCTAGGCCTGTGACCTAATTTCTCTTCTTACTGCAACTAAACCTGAAGCGTATCATTCAGTCTTACAAATCCTGTATGTCCTGGTATTGTTAAACCTGGAGGAGCATAAAAGCTATGCTTCAAGGGGTGACACAGAAAGCTCAGACTGCAAAAGGAAAAAGGCTT